AGAGAGAGAGAGAGAGAGAGAGAGAGAGAGAGAGAGAGAGAGCTAAGCAGAGAGTCCGAGAGAGAGAGAGAGAGAGAGGGGGAGAGAGAGAGAGAGAGACGGATGGACGGACACAAAGACAGACACAAAGATGGACAAATGGACTGAAAAAGAATGAAAAGAGAACACAAAGACAGACAGCCAGACAAACAAATGGACAAACATATGATGACCTCGCGTTGGGCCTGGTTCATGCACATTCATGTTGAATCTTTCAGTATAAGCACAGCTATAATAACCATACATTGTATTCGGGGGAAGAAGGGGCAGAGGCCGCTGCATGCCTGCGCTGCGCTGTACTCCATAGGTGCCAGGTTCACGACCACAGAGTCCATAGCCCGTATGTAAGGTTGCGCTCTCTATCCCTCCAGCTTTTGTTTGTGCATGACGTCATAGGTGCCGGGTTCAAGACCACAGAGTTCATAGGCTGTAAGTAAGGCTGTGTTCTATCCCTCCAACTTTTGTTGTACATGATGTAGGGCTGGCGGATCTTTCTTGGTACGTCATCCTGGGGAGTTGTAACCGAGAGGGGAGAAGAAATTGAAATAGGGCCGGAGATGGGCGGGTGACCAGTCGCACCGGGAAAAGGGGGGGGCGAAGTTCAAGGCCTGCCCGTGAGAATGCGAGGAGCGGTCTGTAGGGTAGGTGTCTCGCATGCGGGGTTGCTGGGTGGCTCCGAGAGGGGGGACGTTTTTTTCTTCTTCTTCGTGTTATATAATTCGGACGACTTCTCGATTTATGTGTGTCACCCTTGCGCACGGTCCATGCTAATCTTCTCGTTGTCTCGTTCCAATTTTTAACGAAGTTCCCGGTGGACTGGGGAGACGAAATTGAAAGAGGGCCGAAGATGGGTGGGTAAATGGTCGCACGAAAGGGTAGGCCGTGTTCAAGCTCTGTGCGACGGCCGTGAGAATGTGGGGACCTGTGTGTAGGGGAGGCATCACGCACACAGGGTTGCTGGAAGGATGACGAAAGATTATCTATTGTGTGTTTCATGTCTTTTTTCAAAAGTAGAATGAATCTTCTGCTAGAACATAGCACGATACACGGCCATATTTTTTGTCTTTTGTGCATTTGGTGAGTGGTGGCGCAAGGCCCGGTCTCTTGCGACAAAAGGGGCAACGGGCTCCGCTTTCAGATCTCTTGCGACAAAAAGCACAATGGGGTTCCGGTTTCAGAATCGATCTCGGACCCATCCCATGTTCCTGAATAGCACACACATGTAAAGTCTTCACAAACAGGTCATGAGCTCAAATCCTATTGAAATCAGGTTTTGCTACCATAAGGTTACAGGGTACCCCTTTTCAAAAGAGAGAGAATCGCTCTCGGCAATCCCAAGGAAGTAGAGAAATTGCAACCTCGTTCCAACGTTGGATTCAGACCTTGGACAACGTTTTTGCCCCCAACGATAGCTTCTTGACAGATGCTAACGTCTCCACAACCACGAACGCTCTTCCCTAAACCCTAACACAAAAACACTGTCCGAGTCAAAATGAAGCGTCCAACGAATTCAACAAAATGCCAACTTCTTCATTATTGATCCAAACATGTCAAAACTGCACACATGACGTACCCTAAAGCACATATATATCACACAAAACGAAAAACAAGAAAAAAGCAAAAAATCAGCACAATATGACAGTTTCAGTGCAATTCGGTGCAAAATTTGTCGAAAATAACACCCCTGGTTAACCACGTGTGCCCGAGCAGCTCTTCAAGCAACAACTCTCACGATGGAAGTTGTCGATAACAACAACTCCCACGACGGAAGTCGATGATAGCAACAACTCCCATGACGGAAGTCAACGATAGCAATGCTCCCACGACAGAAGTCAACGGTATCTGCAATGCTATGGGCAAAACCATACTCGACAAAGGTCAAAGTGTGACCGATAGAATGGACGAGGCAAGAGAATGCCATGGACGAAAACAGAAATCAGAATGGAATGGAAGCGCACTCTGAATAAGATAGACAAAGATCTGGACAACACGAAGGAAACCAAAATTCAGAAAGATTTTGAGGAAGAATGGCTGAAGAATGGACTGATTGCCTGAGTCGGGGGCAGAGCGCTGCACTTCACTGATTGGTCTAAGCAGAACACAAGTGGACAGGAAATAGACAATGAACAAAGTGTTCCCCATGGACCTAGTCGGCTAGAAGCAATGTAAAGTTAAAGGTGAAGAATAAAATCCCGACCCAAAAAGAAAAACAGGAAGGGTAACACAAGGCCAGACAGGACAAAGATTTAGACCAAGTATAGGACCCGAAATAGAAGTTAAAGTATCTGACTCGACAACCTCACAAGAGAACGAAGAGGGGAATGACAATACACAAGCCACGGTTTGTAAAATAAACATGTTATGACCCTGGCCAATTGCGAGATACACATCCATCAAAAGCACAATGCCGTCCAACTGCAAAAGGAAATGAATGAACTTGAGAGGAGAGAGGAGGTAAGAAGAAGAAGAAGAAGTAAGAAAGAAGAAGAAGATGATGTATACCAGCAAAAGTGAATGACAAGGCACTTCTTCTTCGCCCAACAACTTCTTCCCTGATATACAATGCCGAAAGGCTGAACCAGAATCAATGTCCGAGTCCCTCTTCTACTGCAGGTAACCCTTGAGGTCCACCATAGCCATGGCCGCCTCTACCTTGAAGGCCGAGGCTATGGTGGACTATGGCCGCCTCTACCTTGAAGGCCGAGGCTATGGTGGACTACTATGGCCTGGCCTTGACGTGCAACGGACAACGCAAAGCAGCTATGGCTGCCCAGGCTCTGCTGTGCAGAGGACAACACAAAGCAGCTATGGCTGCCACCACTCAGGCCGCCATGCCCAACTCTGCCTCGAAGCTTCTTGGAGCCGCTCTCCCCCACCGGGGGTCTTCT